TATTTTGAACACATATTACTTGTGCAACTTCAAATCATATTTATTACATTGTTTTAATGCAATTTACCTTAATGTTTCTAATTTGTTAATTCGTTTTTAAAAACTTACCTTATTTTGAATATGATTTAATTGCACAAGTTTATAACATATTAATTGTAAATCATTTAATGACAATATAACTTTAATATTTTTCTTTGGAATGTTTCATTATTTCTTATGAAATTATATTCCTAAACATCATTTGTTATGAAAATATCTCCCAAATAACATAAGAAAAAAGGAAGGTGGAGTATATATAAAGGAGACACCTAAGGGATGTCAATACTAACTTATTAGTCTATTTTTATTCGATAAAAAAATTAAATTTATAAATTCTTACATTTGTTTGTTTTTTCTATTAACAAATAAATAACACAGACGAAAGACCTGTTGTAGTTAACTACAAACCATTTTTCAGTTTGTTTCAATAGCGATATGCAAATTTAATATTATTTTCGTCTCAATAAAATTTAGAAATCTATTAAATTATTTTATATTGTACAGTTGCTAACAAAATTTGACAAATTTTTGCAGGTTTCTATGGGATATTTTTAATTCATAATTGTTCTTCTTATTTTATATTACTTATGGGTTATATTTAAAATTTTTATTACATTTTCTTTGCAGGTTTCTATGGGATTGTGTTATATATTTCTATAGATTTACAATATATCAAAATCAAAACTATTTATTATTCTTTAATTTTATACTCATATTATGGTATTAGGAAAAATATACCTTGTTGGTAAAAGCTTTTAATTAGTTAATCCGTTTATTAATATTTTGCTCTATTTTGTTATCGATTACTTGCGCAAGTCGATATGTTGATTACCTTATTTTGCCATCAATTACTTGTCTTATATGGTATGTCAATTATTGCAAATTTATGACAGTCAATTTTTAATATCTTTCTTTAAATTGCTTCATGGCTTATTATGAATTTTTTTTCCAATTTTTAATATATTTCTTTAAATTGCTTCATGCCTTATTTTAAATTAATATAACTTGCACAAGAAAACTAATATTTAATTCAAATCAGCTTATGATATTGTAGATCTAATAACTTTCTTTATTCAGTTTAAATATTTATTATAAAAAATTAATATTTTCTGCTTTGCCTTCTAAATCGGTATTACACTTTATAATTGCTTAGATTTTATAGTTACAATAGCATACTAATGAGATGAACTATTTCTCTTGCAGGTCATGATGTTGCAGTCCTTAGGTGATATTTCCTTGTGGTGATTTTTCAGGAACTCATTTGTCCAAAAGAAAAAACCAAGAAGATCATGACAGTAACCTTGGAGGATCAACACTCTGTTAACAAAAAACATTCCCACAAAAAAATCAAGGGCGAATGATCTCGAATTTTTTTTTAAAATATTTATTTGTGAATAGTTTCCAGGAACTACACATTTAGTCTTTTGTCACTATCCGCGTTATTCATTATTATTTATTTCAAATAAAAACACATTGAGTCTTTTCTTGTGCTCATGACAATTTTTAAAATAATTGCATTGTAATAACACTCATGTTTTAGTAATAATCTGCTGGAAGAGATGAAATTATCTAATTTTCGTTCTAATGATATGTTATTATTTATTCAATGTATTCGTTATTGTTTTTTAGTTATATTTTTATTAGATTATTTTTTCAGATCTCAATATATAATAAGGTCATTTTTATAGTTATTATTATCGTCATTTAACAATTATATTATAACTTGTTTATTATTTAATTCTCACAACTTGCCTTGAATGAAAAATATGTCCACATTTACCACAGTAATGATTACCAATTAATGATGATTACAACATCACGTAACATATACTCCCTACGTTCCTAAATGATTGATGTTCTGGAAAAAATCAAATTTCAAAAAGATTGATTTTTTACCTTTTCAATGTATGATTTAATGAAAAATTGTAAGTTTCAAAAAAATTAATGGTGTTTATTGAATTTATATTGGCTAAAAGCTATGGAAAAATTTTATTCATAAGAAACAATGCATTTACAATCAAAATTTAATGAGTTTTCTTAATATATGTGAAAAGTCTAAAACATCAATTTTTAAAAACAGAGGGAGTATTGTATAAATTTAATTCACAAGATTGATTGGTAATAATTAAGAATGATTTATGTTAACGCATTAAATTCAGAACATCTATATAGCAATAAAAAGAATGTAATAAATAATAC